AACTAAAAGCTGAAGGTACCTCAGCTGAAACATCTCCCAAGGCAGTCTGGCCCTGGAGACCAGGGGACCCTACCATGGTAACTCTTGGAAGCTCCATATGCTCTGTTCTTGATCTCACTGTGCCTTTGTTGCAGCCCTGAAATTAAGAGTAAAATTCTTTATATGAAAAAGTCATGTGCACTCACCTTCAGGGTGTGAGACAGTGCTCCTTCATGTACAGCAGGACTGTGGGAGAAGATGCAGAGGAGAGGGGGGTTGGCCTTGAGGAAGAGGGCAGGAAGGCAGGGGAAGATGTGAGCCTGCATTTCCAAAGCACAAGCCTGAGGTATAGCTCTAAGCCTGAGCAGGAGTTCAGGGCATAGCAAATATTAGTCCAGTGGGCAAGGCTGGGTTCAAGGGCATTGACAGTTGCCCAAGAAAGCCCGTTTAGAAAGGACCTGTGCTTGATTTTGTGCTTTGTTTTCTTAGTTTTGAAATTCTTAATCATTTTTGCACATGAGACCCTGTATTTTTATTTTGTACCAGGTCCTACAAATTACATAGCTGGTACTGAGGGTGCATTTTCCGAGCATCCTATTTATCCTGCAGTGTCCACTGATGACTCCTTCTACTGGGATTTCGAAAGTATAGAAAAGGACACTGTTTCACTGGTGGGGGAAGCCAAAGCTGTTCCTGATGAAAATGGAATTCTCCAAGGGGAGAGAGCAGTACTTACAATATCTACTAAGCTTTAAAAGGTCAAATTTAGCAGTGTTTTGGGAAGAGGTTCTAATAGTAGTGGAGAGAGAGTGCCTGAGACCTAAGGCAGGCATGATGGTAGGAAGAGGGGAAGAGAGCAGGTAGCATCTATTTAGGAAATCCATCTGGGTGTAAGCACTGAAAGTAAATATGCATATTTTGAAGTCTTATGTGAATGTCAGTTGCTTTTATGAGCTTTCTCAACACTTAGCTAATTTAATTAAATTGTGTCCCTGAATTTCTTCTGTTCTGAGTTTTGCTTATCTTTTGTACCTTGGAGACAATTGAGAACTCGACCAGATAAAGTGAGGATTAAATAATCTAAAGCACAGGAAACATGGGTGTTGTGCTGAACAGGGGCCAGGACCTCAGCCAGTGTCTGTTTCCTTTTTCTTTTACAACATCAAGTGTACTTCAAGCTCCACAGATGGAGAGGTTCATGTATTTTTCTGGGTAATTTGCACCAATACCTACTACTTAGGGGCAAGTGCAGTTTGAGTATAAATTACTAGGTCTGGAACTTTATGTGATAACAGGGGTTCTAACAATTCTTTTGTGGACTTAAAGGAATAGCTTTCAATTACAACGTTGTTACAGCTGAGCAGGAAGTTTTCTAGATTCTGAGAGTTCTTCGGGAGCCTCTGAGAAATTCCTGTAAAAGCTGCAGTGTGACTTTCAACAGATTCAATTGCTTTAATTTAATTGTTGTCTTGGGGAGTCCCATTCTGGGAATTCATCTCGGTTGTGCTGGATATTACAGGAGACACTCGGAGTGCAAGTGCATGTGCATGTGTTCATGCATAAGTTAATTTTACTATTTTATTATTTAGTTTTATAATCTTTTGGTTGAATGTAGCAAAAGAAAAAAAACATACTGTAAACATGATGTTCCTTGAATAGCGTATATTCTTATAAACACATTCTCCTTTATCTTGTTCACTAGAGCTTTCCTGGGTAGAAATAATTTAATATAGGGTACATAGATTAAGAAAAAATGGCTTCACTTAGGGTGCAGGTGGAAGGGGCAGCTCTGATTCATACACTCTTCTAATTTCAGTGTTAAAATTTATCTAATTTCTCAGCTAAAACTAGACTAGGATTTATAGGTCATGTGAATTTCAAATAAAAACTAAAACAAAGCAGAATAGAAACTGTTTCAGTTTTTCAAGTTATTTTTACTTTAACAATTATGGAGGTAATCCATATTTGTTGTTAAAGCAGTAGAAGGTTTAAATCAGCAGAAAACAAACAAACAAAAAAACCCCAACTAACCAAACAACAATGGCAAGAAAAAACAAAAAAAGCAAATCTGGTAATTTCCTTTTATTTAACTAGTTCACTCTTAATTTTTTGATATATGTATATTCATTCTTAGACTTTATATTTAATATTTACCAATACATTATTAACACAATTTCTTGTCAATTGGTGTATAGGTTTTCTAGTAATACAGTAATTGTTTTCATCTTAGCCTTGATCTTGTATGGTATTTTAGACTTGTAGAAGCTGTATATGTGGTCAGTTTGACTTACAATTGTTTTTACTATATGATGGTGTGAAAGTGATATGGATTCTGCAAATACTGTAGTACAGATTTTGAATTTTGATCTTTTCATGGGTTTGTGGTCCTGCAATGCTGGGCAGTGGCTGTGAGCTGCTATTCACAATCTGCCATGCATGGGATCATGAGGGTAAACTAGGATATTCTAGGTCTGCAGTATACTGTGTTGCTAAACTATTATGTTTGGTAGGTTAGATCAGAATGTATTTTTGACTTATAATGTTTTCAATTTATTATGGGTCTATCAAATTAAAACCTGATCAGAAGTCAAGGAACATCTGTAGTTTATAGCATCAGTTAAAACAAACTGATTGGCTGGGTAGATAACTGTCACCTCTTTTTCTTCCTGGAAAGATTTGTTATGGGTCTTCGGTAACCTATGATAAGCTATCTGTCTCAGTTACTTTTCTTGTTGCTAAGACAAAAATACCTGGCACCTAAAGTGAAAGGAGGAAAAGTTCATGTGGCTTATAGGATGCAGAGGTTTCAGTCCATAGTCAGCTGGCTCCAAGGCAGGGTGGCTTGGCAAAGGAGAAATAGTTTATGGTGGCCAGGAGGTAGAAAAGCATCAAGGGGACCACAGCAACGTCTTTCTGCCCCTTTTATCTTGTCCAGACTACGGGATTAGGGAGGTGCCAAACCAGTCAGTGTATTGGTTTAGTAATTACACATCCTTAATCCCAGCATCACACACACTAGATTCACCACCTCTGAAAAAGCCACCTATGACTATATGAGGCTTTGGGATGACATCTAGACCCAAACCATAATACCACCCATTATAAAGTGACCATCTCTGTCCAGTCAAGTTGGCTGGGAAAAAAAATGGACTATGAGAAAGAAGGACCCCTTTGACAGGGATTTCTAGAAGGAATATGGAAATTGAGGTACCCTAAACTAGATCTTGGCCAGGGATATTAACTCATATATCATGAGAATAAATTATTTCCCCCTTTTTGTTTAACATTTAAAAAATTAAAAAAAATTTTTTTGGTACTGGGGTCAAACTTGGACCTTGTTCTTGTGCGCTAAATCTCTGGCTCTTTTCTTTAACATTTTAATGGTGTTTTAGCACAACATTCTTGATCCTTTCTTTTTGGGATTGCAATGACACAAATATGGAGATATTTTGTTTTAGTATTATGGTCTTTGAGATTACCTTTATTTTTTATTCAGATTGTTTTCTTGTTATTCAACTGGGTAATTTCTGTTTTCAAGTTCACTGATTCTTCCTATGATCTCTATTCTACTACTAAACTCATTCATAAAGTTTAAAAATTTTTAGTTATTATATTCTTCAGTTCTGAATTTTTAACTTGGCTCTTTATACCTCGCATTTTAAAATTTGTTTCAAGAGCATTTTTGATTGTTTATGGAAGCAGTTTTATGACTACTGCTTTAACATTCTTTGGGATACTTTTAGCACTTGTTTCATCTTCTTGTTGGTGTCTTTGATAGTTTTATAGAACTATTTCCTGAGGCATTAAAGTACAACCCTTTTAGTAGCCTAATGTAATATAGGCATTTTTTCCCCTCACCATTCTGGTGGCCAGAATCTGAGATCAATTTGTTGGAAGAGCTATGTTCCCTCCAAAGGCTCTGAAGAAGAATTTTCCCTCGCTTCTTTCAATTACTGGTGACTCCAGTCATCCCTTGGCTTTAGGCTGCATAATTCCAATCTTTGCTCTATGTTCACATAACTTTCTTCTCTGTATTTATGTGCTGTTTTCTGTCTCTGGTAAAAATACTTGTCATTGGCTTTGTAGTCCACCTGGGGAATCCAGATTAATTTCATCTCAAGACCCTTAGTTACATGAGCAAAGGCTCATTTTCCAAATAAGAAGACATTCACAGGGTGAAGGTATTAGAACACAGATATATTTATTTTTGAGAGCTACCATTCAACCTACAATAGCACCTGATGATTTTGTCTTCGTCCAAGCTGTGATCTCTTCTTTTTTCTTTTTTTTTCAGCTTTAATTGAATTTATTGGTACATTTTAGGGATACAGTACAGTTGCATTCATTGTTGGGATCTTGTACCTCTACATGACAAGTCTTGATTCTCATTTTTTCCCCTTACCCCCTCTTCTTTTTTCTTACCAGTAAGGCAATGAGTGATTTTTAATTGAAATTTGGATATTTTGGAAATGATGTCACTGTGCTTTGGGTATGGTTTGAGTTTGACCTCCAAGATAGAAGTTGTATTCTCAGTATGGTGAACCTTAAGAGGTAGAGATCAATGAGAGGTCATTGGAAGTAATATCCTCAGAAGATATGAAGGCATTTCTTATGAGTTTTTCCAAGAAGGCTATTATAAAATAGAGCAAGCCTGCCCCCTTCACTCAACTCCTGCTGTAACTTTCTTCTTTGCCATGTGATTTCTCTTTCATACATGTTCTGTTGTGATGTCATTTGCCATGGGGTGAGGCATCCAGGAGGAACTTTTCCAGTGCCAACACCTGTTTGGACTTTCTGTTTCCCAAACTGTGAGCTTAGTAAATCTCTTTCTTTTATAAAGTACCCAACCTCAGGTATCTCATTATAGTAATGTGAAATGGATGAATACATATGCTGTATGACTCTAGATTTTATTTGAGTGTCTTGTTGTAGCATTTTTTTCCCCCGACACTGTTCTGGCAGGGAGAGAAGGGGCACTATTTCATGTGTAATTATGATCATTTCACCCTCTGGCCTCTGTTGGTGTCCTGCAAGAGAGTCTCCTGGTTACTGCTGGGTGAGGGGGAAGCAGCATTGCTCTCAGGGCCCTGCTGTTCTGCTGGGACAGGGTGGGGGGAGGTGCCTAGTAATTGCTCCCTATATGGTCTCCAGTAACACTATGGGAGATAATTCATTTTACCTGGGTCCACTGGCCATTAGGCCTTCTCTGATGTGGCTGCAACAGAGAGGGCCTTGGTTCCATCAAGTGGGGATAAAAGTCTGTGCTCTCTTCTCTGTTTTTTTTTTTGGCTGGGGTGAGGCTACAGTGTTTGCTGTGGTATTTGACTCTTGTAGAGTAGATGCTAGTCTGCTGGACTCCCTTTCCTTTGGCTGGAAAGAAAGTTTTGAGATGACTTTTTGTATATGTGTTTGCACTTGATGATGTAGGTGGATGTCTGGCTTTTCCATCATTTACTCTGCAATTCATAAGGCCCAAACAAAATACAACCTAGAGAAGTTGCCTCAGCTTCTGAGGTGCCTAGCCAGGCTCCCTTTTCTCCATCTTTCAGTGTCTTCTTGTGTTTGTTTTTAATATGGTGTCCAGAGTTTGTACCTATGCTCCATGGGAGAAAATTAGAATAAATATTAATTTTTAATGCTTTCATAGTTCTATCTTTTATATTAAATCTTTAAGCATGTATTTATTATTGTGTGTCCAGCAGAACCTAGTTCTTGTGATCCACTTAAGTGCTACTGAATCAGAATGTCTGGGAGGCTTCTCTTTCTTTTTATTTTACAAACTCTGCAGATGATTAAATGTTTGCCAATATTCCCGATCCATTGTTTATCCATTCAAAAAAATGTTTTATTTAAATTGTTAGTGAGGCATCTTACCTATTTTTTTCCCTTTGTGGTTAGATAATTGTCTTAAAACCATTTATTAAATTATTCTCTTTTCTTCACCATAATAAAATATTAAATTTATGCATAAATATAAATATTTGGGTCCATTTCCAGATATAACATTCTTCTTTATTGATCTGTCTGACCATTCTGGCGCCAGTAACTTATTCTTTTTAATTGCTGTAACTCTAGTCTGAGTAGACTTCTCAATGTTGCCCTGCACCAGTCTCTAAAAGCTTCATAAGAAACCATTTGCCAAGAGAGAATTAGATGACTCATATGTGAAAATGCTTTGTAAATTGCAAAGCTCTTTGGCCTCTCAACCCCCTCCTGACACCAGCACTTCCTAAAACACTGATCTCATCCTGTCCCTTCCTGACTCCAGAGCCTTACTCATAAGATGGAGCTCATTATCATGGCATTCAAGGCCCTCCCACCACAACCTGGTCTCAGCTACCTTTTAAAAAGACCTCCCTTGCCTTCAGTGAAACTGTTTTATTTAATCTTATTTACCTACTATGTATTTTCTAGAGTTGTATGGCATATTTGTTATATTTAATCTTGTTCTCCCTACCTTGAAGGGCATTCCTTAAAATTTCTTACTATCCTCCAAGGCCAGCCTCCTCTAGAAAGCTCTTTATTTGAATTTTTAAGACTTCTTGTCTTGGTATGCATGGCTCTCACCTTAAAATTAGCTTACATTGACCTAAGATCACTCCTGTTGATGCAATCACATTTGTTATTTACACATTTGTTATTTCTGGAATGCAGGTATACTTGTCATTATATGCAGAGGCAGTGTCTTTTTTCTTTTGTACACCACTGTTTCTCCTAGCAAAGTATAGACACATAGTTGACATTCACTCCATACATGTTCATTGACTAAATAAAGGAAGAGTAATATTAGGTCTCAGTGAAAATCCATGTGGATCTGTGTGGCTCAGACCCAAGCATATTGGCCACTTCATTTCATCTAGTTTCAGGTAAGTGTTCAGTTCGGAGCAGTGATGGGTAACCCCCATGTTCTGAAATGTAACTGCTTTATTAATCAACCATACAATGATCTAACAGGACACAGTGGCCCTGTGCAGAGACACATGAACTCAGAAATTTCCTCTTTAGATCATTGCAAAAATCTCCTTGTGTCTCAGAATAATCAAGGCTTTAGAGATGCTCTTGTTGTACACTCTGCTAATTCCCCTCCAAGGGAATTTACCTGCATTGAGCCCTTAATCCATCAGCAGCCACGGTTTTCATCACTTGGTCCAGTTCCATTGTAGGCATAACCAGTTGGACTGATTAAGGGGCACACAGTGATGGGCTGCACCAATTGGGTTCTTGCTCTGGTGAATCAGAATTAAGAAACATGGAAGACTGCGGTCAATTAGATGGGGGCCATAGATCCCTGCAGTCAGAATGGGGCCAGAGAGACTGTGAGGGTAAGAAGCCAAAACAGTGAGGAGGAGAGCAAACGAGAGAAGGGGCTGAAAGTGAGCAAGAATGATGCAGAGGGATGCAAGAATATCTGTCCCTGGAGACAAATACTCGGATTTCAGAAATACTCTCTATTCAAACTCCGTTGAGCTAAATTCTCTTTCTCTAGGATGGGTCTCCTCTATCCTCATCTTTGATTCTTTGTGAGATCATTAGAGCTCTACAATGAGTCTGAGTTCTTGACCAAGCTTGAGGGAATGGAATGTTTCTGTTCCTTTTGAACAAATTAGTCTGGATAAGAGGTGACAGGGCAGGGAATGTGTATCAGCTGTTTACCTGTCTGGAGAACATATATTTAATTGTAGTGGGTCAAGAAAGTTATAATACCTGGGTGAAATTTAAAAGGATATTGTTCTCAACAAAATGTTAAGCTTGGCCTCCTGCTCAGGCCCACCTAGTGGGTCCGCGACCTCCCCAACTGCGCTCCACCAGATCCAGGAAGGAAGGGAGCTGCGTGGGTGCTGTTGAAACACCCACACGACCTGAACCCCCCCCTCCCATTCTCAAACCTCCTGATTGGGCCAGTCCTTGGACCCACTCTGCAGAGGCATAGGTGGTCATGAAGGGTATTTTTCTGAACTCCCAACCTTGAACATCTTTAAAGAAAGGGCGGGGTAAACCTGTAGTAGAACTGAGTGGAGTTCAACCCTGTGGGTTGGGAAACTCAATTTAGGCCTTGTGGACTGAGGTCAGTCTGAGTTGTGGGGACTTACCATTGGCTAGCTGAGATCAGGGGATTTGGTTCTGCACATAGCTGTACACGTGGTATAATATGACAACAGAGACATAGTCTGAAAGAGGCCCTTCAAATTCTTTTTTTTTCTTTTCCTTATTCCACCCTACAATTTCTTTCTTTTTTCTGTCCTCTCTCTCCAACTCAGTCTCTTGCTCCACTATATTATCCCTCATCTCCCTTTTTATTCCTGCTCCTGCCCTAACTCAGACTTCTTCTTTTATCATTTTTCCTTTTTTTCTTTATGTTCTTTTCTCCTGTCATTTTACCTCACTCATGGCTCTGTAGCTTCAAGGGAAGGAAAGACCCTGTTACTGTTAAGGGGATATATTCTTGTCCTTATTCCTGCACTCTGTCTATCCCCTTTGAAGTTAATAGTTTTGTATAGATAGTATGGTCATTCTACATCCTCTGGCTTCACTTGAAACCTTCTCCAATTCTTTCACTTATCTACTCCTCTCGTCCTAACTCAGTCTAGGCCCCCATCCTAAATGGTAAAGATGCTATATTGAAAAGTGTATTCACTGCAAACATATTTTGGGCTGCTTCTTGATATTAATTTAATTCACATGGTTTAAAGGTGATAGATTAATGACTACCCCAAGTGGTCAGTTTGTAAGCTGTGTTTTATCCTATTGGGCTGCTGAATGTATCAATTTGGATAAAGGATTGTGATTGATTTAATGAGTTGTTTTCTCCAATGGTATGAAAATGGGGATGTCTATGAGTCATTAGAGACTCAAAAGCTAAAGCGCAACTTTATCAGGAAGATTTAACTAATAACCCAGAAATTAAATCAAGGACAGTCCGACAACAAAAATAAAAATGAGGAAACACTTAAGCAAGACACAAAGACAGACTTCCAGTTCACCAATGGCAAACACTAGGGCAAATGAGGATGAAAAGTCTGATAGTGAACCAGCTGGACACCCTGGACCCATAGCACAGGAGGTAACAAAACAGATCAATCAGGCTCTAGAAAAATTCAAATCAGAAATAATTTCCCAGTTAACCATAGAGATGGTGAGCAAAATGGAAGTCATGATTCAAGACTCTAGAACAGAAACTGACAAAAAAATAAATGAGCTCAAGACAATGATAGAAGCCATGAAGACTCAGAATAAGAAATAAATGGAAACAATGAATGCCCAACAGAGGAAAGACATGGAATCCATTAAACAGATTCAAAAGGATATCCAGGAGATTAAAAACTATTGAAAGTGCATGCAACAGAATAAAAGAATGCGAAGATAGAATTTCAGATATAGAAGATAGGATTGCAGTCAGTGACCCTGAAAAAAGAGGTCTCTCAAAAACAGTAAGGGACCATGAGAAATCGATCCAACAACTTCTAGACAATGCAAAGAAAAATAACATAAGACTGATAGGAATCCATGAAATAGCAGGAGAAAACACAAATGACTTAAAAAAGCTCTTCACAGAATTAATGACAGAATTAATGACAGAAAACTTCCCAAACAGAAGGGAAGAATTAGACATACAGACAAGTGAGGCATATAGCACTCCAACTGGCCATGATCAAAAAAAATCTACACCTAGACATATAATAATCAAGATCCCAGAAATCCAACAGAAGCACAAAATATTACAAGCAGTAAGAGAAAATAAACAAATCACATGCAAAGGAAATCCCATTAGAACCACAGAAGACTTTTAAACTCAAACCCTTAGGTCAAGGAGAGCCTGGAGTGAGGTATTTCAAGTCCTAAAAGAAAACAACCTCCAACCAAGACTGATGTATCCTGCAAAAACTTTCTTTCAAAATGGATGGAGAAATAAGATATTTGCATGACAAGGAACACCTGAAAAACTTCATAAATACTAAACCAGCACTACAAAGAATTTTAAACAATATCCTAGAAATAAGATATTTGCATGACAAAGAACACCTGAAAAACTTCATAAATACTAAACCAGCACTACAAAGAATTTTAAACAATATCCTAGAAAAAGATAATGAGATCCCAACACCAGGAAGCCCAACAGAGCAAATCAAATAGCCAAGGCAAGAAACTAAAAGGAGAGGACAAAAATAAAAAGAGTCAACAAAAGGACAATTACATGACAATAATAAGTCACTACATATCAGTTATAACTATCAATGTCAATGGCCTCAATTCACCAATGAAGAGAAATAGATTGGCAAAATGGATTAAGAAGCAAACTCCAACAATATGTTGTATACAAGAAACACACCTAGTGCAAAAGGAAGCCCATAGACTGAAAGTGAAAGGATGGAAAACAATTCTCCACGCATCAGGAGCCCAGAAAAAAGCAGGGGTAGCAATCTTATTCAAAGACAAAGTAAATTTCAAACCAAAACTGGTTAAGAGAGACAAAGAAAGCCACTACATCCTTGTAAAGGGAACAATTCCAGAGGAAGAGATGACAATCATAAACATATATGCACCCAATATAAATGCCCCCAACAATATAAAACAAATATTAAGTAACACAAAAAACCAAATAACCACTAATACAATTGTAGTGGGGGATTTAAATAACCCACTATCACAAATGAACAGATCATCTAGGCAGAAAATCAACAATGAAATAATAGAACTGAACCAAGCTTTGGAACACATGGACTTAATAGATGTCTACAGAGTATTCCACCCACAAAATCAGAATATACATTCTTTTCAGCTGCACATGGATCATTCTCCAAAACAGACCACATATTGACTCACAGAACAGGTCTGAATAAATGCAAAAGAGTTTAAGTCATCCCCTGTATATTACCAGATCATAGTGCAATCAAGCTGGTGATCAATAGCACAAGAAACTGTAGGAACTTCACAAGCACATGGAAACTGAACAGCACCCTCCTGAACAATCAATGGATTACAGAGGAAATTAAAGAAGAAATTAGACAGATTTTACAAATAAATGAAAATGCCTTTACAAAATACAGAAATCTATGGGACACAATGAAAGCAGTTCTACAGGGAAAATTCATAACATTTAATGCCCACACTAGGAAAACAGAGCAAGCTCAAATAAACAATCTAATGATGAATCTTAGACTCCTAGAAAACAAGAGCAAGAAAAACCCAAAGCTCAAACAAGAGAGGAAATTATAAAGATTCTAGCAGAAATCAATGCAATGGAAACTAAGAAAACAATACAAAAAATAAATGAAACAAAGAGTTGTTTTTTTGAGAGAATAAATAAAATTGACAAACCCTTAGCTAATCTTATCAAAAAAAAAGGAAAGAAAAGGCTCTGATCCATCCAATCAGGAATGAAAAAGGCAAAGTCACAACAGATCCAATAGAAATCCAGAGCATCATTAATATCTACTTTGAGAACCTGTACTCCAACAAAATGGAAAACACAGAAGAAATGGACAGATTTTTAGATACTTGTGAATTACCAAAGTTGAACAAAGAAGATAAAAACATTTTAAACACCCCAATTACAGTCAGTGAAATTGAAAATGTAATTAAAAACTTAGCAACAAAGAAAAGCCCCAGGCCCTGATGGATTCACTGCTGAATTTTACAAGACATTTAGAGAAGAATTACTGCCATTACTCTTCAAACTTTTCAATGAAATTGAAAGGGAAGCTATATTTCCAAATTCATTCCTGGAAGCAAGTATCACTTTGTTTCCCAAACCAGGGGAAGATGCAACTAAAAAAGAGAACTACAGGCCAATCTCCTTAATGAATATAGATGCAAAAATCCTTAATAAGATACTAGCAAACAGAATACAGAGGATTATCAAGAAGATCATACATCCTGACCAAATCAGATTTATTCCACGGATGCAAGGGTGGTTCAACATACGTAAGTCAATTAATGTAATACACTATATTAACAAAGTCAAGGACAAAAACCATATTATCCTCTCAATAGATGCAGAAAAAGCATTTGACAAAATTCATCACCCATTCATGATAAAAACCCTGCAAAAAATTGAACTAGATGGTCTATATCTCAACTTAATAAAGGCTATCTATGAAAAACCAACAGCCAACATCATATGAAATGGCCAAAAACTGAAAACTTTCATGTTAAAATCAGGAACAAGATAAGGATGCCCACTATCACCACTCCTCTTCAATATATTTCTGGAAACACTAGCCACAGCAATTAGACAAGAGAAAGAAATTAAAGCAATAAAGATAGGAAAGGAAGAAGATAAACTGTCATTATTTGCTGATGATATGATACTCTACATTGAAGACCCCAAAAATTCCACCAGAAGACTTCTAGACTTAATTGACAGATTCAGTAGAGTAGCTGGATATAAGGTGAACACCCAAAAATCAATAGCCTTCTTGTACACAAATAACAGACTCACGGAGAGAGAAATAAGGGACAAAATTTCTTTTACAATAGCATCCAAAAAAAATGAAGTATCTAGGAATCAATCTAACAAAAGAAACAAAGGATCTCTACACTGAAAACTACAGCACTCTGAAAAAAGAAATTGAAGAGTATATTAAAAAATGGAAAGATATCCCTTGCTCCTGGGTAGGAAGAATCAACATAGTGAAAATGGCCATAGTGCCAAAACTGCTATACAGATTCAATGCAATGCCAATTGAAATTCCAACACTATATTTCACAGAACTAGAAAAAAGAATCCAAAAATTCATTTGGAACCATAAGAGACCTAGAATAGCAAAAGCCATCATAGACAATAGACACATGACAGCAGGTATAACAATTCCCAACTTGAAACTATACTACAAAGCCACTGTGATAAAAACAGCATAGTACTGGCAAAGAAACAGGCCTGCAGATAAGTGGAACAGGTTGGAAGACACAAAAACAAATCCAGATGTACTCAACTACCTCATCTTTGACAAAGGAGCTGACCATCCTCAGTGGAGGAAAGATAGCCTCTTCAATAAATGGTGTTGGAAAAATTGGATTTCAACCTGCCACAGATTAAAACTGGACCCTTATCTTTCACCATGCACTAAATGAAAACCCAAGTGGATTAAATATCTAAATATTAAAACAGAAACACTAAACTTGCTGGAAGGTAAGTTAGGCAGAACTTTGGAAGACATTGTCATAGGAAAAGACTTTATGAACAAATCCTCAGTAGCACCGGAACTAGCAGATAGAATCAACAACTGGGATCTCATCTTACTAAAAAGCTTCTGTACTGCAAAATAAACCATCAACAGAATTAAAAGACAACCTACAATGTGGGAAAAACTTTTTGCCAGCTGCTCCTCAGACAAAGGATTATTATCTAGAATATATAAAGAACTCAAAAACATCAGCCCCCCCAAACATAAAGACCCGATTTAAAAATGGGCATCCAAAATGAACAGACATTTTTCAGACAAAGAAGTAAAAGCGGCAAGTAAATATATGAAAAAATGTTCTACATCACTGGTCATTTGAGAGATGCAGCTGAACACAACACTGAGATTCCACCTCACCCCACAAAGAATGGCTGCTATCAAGAAATCACACAATCACAAATGTTGGCGTGGTTGTGGGGAGAAAGGAATCATAGTCTATTGTTTGTGGGAGTGCCGACTGGTGCAACCACTATGGAAATCAAAATGGAGATACCTCAAAGAGCTTGGACTGGAGGTTCCATTTGACCCAGCCATCCCTCTGCTGGGTATCTTTCCAAGAGAACTAAAAGAATCATATCACAGTGATGTATGCACACCCATGTTTATAGTGGCACAGTTTGTAATAGCTAAGACTTGGAAACAGCCCATTTGCCTATCAGTTGGAAACTGGATAAAGAAGATGTGGTTTTTCTATAAAATGGAATATTACTCAGCCATAAAGAATGAGAAAATAGATTCATTCATAGGAAAATGGATACATAATGAACATATACTCCTCAGTGAAATAAATAAGTCACACATGTGTAAATACCGAATAGTTTCCCTGGTGTGAATAAACTGTAATAATACATAAGATCCTAATAAGATTACTGACATTGTGTAATGGGAAGAAAGGGGCTAAAGGTGTAGGGAAGTTGGGATGGATAGGGGAAAGGTAATAAGGGAAAAGAATAAAAATGAGAGATAATGAAAAGATGGAAATAAAGTGTCTGTAGATGGGGAGGGGAGGAGGGGTGAAGGGGAGGGAAAGGACAACGGGAAAAAATGAGAACCAAGACCTGCCATGTAGAGGCACATGATCTCAACAATGAATATAACTGTACTGTATCCCTAAAATGTACCAATAAACTCAATTAAAGCTGAAAAAAATGTTAAGCTTTTAAAACTTCTTTTTGAGAAAAAATTTCAAACATAAAAAACTAGAAAGAATAGGAATACAAATATTCAGCAGCCTTTCACTTAGGTTTAGCAGTTATCACTTTTCCTAAGCCAAATGCGGCGTTTCACACCCGTAACCCCAGAATTTGGGGGATTACTTGTGTCCAGGAGTTCAAAACCAGCCTGAGCACCAGAGTGTAGCCTGTCTCAAAAAACTAAAACTAAAACACCACATTTTCCTATATTTGCTTCATTTCTGTCTTTCTTTTTCACTTTTTTTGCGAACTAGTTTGAATTACAGATTTTTTGCTTCCCATAAATACCTCATGCATCTCCAGAAGAGGATGGTTCTTTATATGACCACAATGCCATTATCATTTATAATGTAATTGATAACTTTTTTTGATATCACTCTTAAACTATCTGTTATGGTTTATATCTGGCTGTCCCCCAAGAGTCTCATGCACTCACAGCTGGGGCTTCTGGAAGATGATTGGATTATGTGAGTTTATAGCTTACTTGCCATGAGGAGCAGGGGCTGGTTTGAAGAACAGGGTCACAGGAGCTGTGACCTGGAAAGGTATACCTCCCTCCTGGTCTCCTTTTCTCCCTGCTTCCTGGTTGCCATGATGTGAGCAATTTTTCTTGTGCCAGTTCCCTTGGTCATGCTGTTTCTTTGGAGCTGGCTGTCCACGAAATGAAACATAAAGCAAAGTAAGTGTCTCCCTCTTTAAGTTTTAGATATTCGGTGGTATTGTGTCCCAGCAATGAGGAAAGTAAATAAGGCACTGCCCATTTTGCAACAGTCCTAATTTCTTCAGAATATCTTTTATGTATGTTTCTTTTCAAGCAAGGATATAATAAAGATGATTCTACATTAGATTGCCAATGCTATGTTCTTTAGGTTTTTCTTTATCTAGTACAGCATCTTTCTCATCTTTTAAAAATGAAATCAGGCTTGTGTATTGTAGAATTGTGCATTACAAATTCTAGATTTGCCTGGTGTTTTTCTCATAGTATTTTTTTTTTGGGGGGGTTTCTCTTTCCTGTGATTCTTGTACAATACATGCTAAATTTAAAGGATTGGTTGGATTCAAGTTAGACACTGTGCTAATACCTCATGGATGGCAGTAAGGGATACTTCATATTGATTGCATCATAGAAGGAGAGATGTAATATCTAGCCAACTGTCCCACTATTTGTGATGCTTCATTGGTTACTCTGTTCAACATGATGACAGATTTTTCCATTTTAAAGGAAAGTTGAATCTTTGTGATTTTCCATTAAACATTTGCCTAATAATTTTAGTATCCATTATTGACCTTTTCCTGAATGGATAGACTTTCTTGCCAATTGTTCTTCTGAGTAGGCTATAGGGGGACTGAGAAGAAGAGACACAAAGTCTTCTTTATTGTAGATTATTCTTCATTTTACTCTTATGGATATACTTACTGTGGATATGCTTATTTGTCTATTGCAACCTGACAAATAATCTCAAAATATACTGATCTTAAACAACAATTATTTTATCTCTCTTGGTCTCTGTGTGCCAGGGATTCAGGAAGGGAATGGTTAGATGCTCCTAACTTGTAGCTACCCATTTGATTATCATCAGATGGGTCTTGAACTTGAAAAGTAGGACACTAGACAATTTGGACTTTGGCCAGGAATTGCTTTTTCTCTGTGTCATCTCAAGTCCTCCCTGTGTAGTTTCTCTGCATCGGTCAGTTTGGACTTCCCCAGAGTGTGGCAGGCTCAGGGCAAGTAGGACTTCTTTGCATGATGGCTGCGATGTTTGTCTGAATGTTTGTGTCCCCCACCCCCAAATTCATATGTTGAAACCCTGAACTCCAAAGTGATTAAATTAGAAGATGGGGCCTTTGGGAGGTGATTAGCTCAGAACAGTGGAGCCTTCATGAAGGAGATTAGTGCCCCTGTAAGAAGGAACCCTAGAGAGCTTGCCCCAGGTAGCACCCAATATGGAGGGACACAATGAAAAGATAGCATCTATGAACCAGAATTTGTGTCCTTGGAAGATACTGAATCTACTGGTGCTTGGATCTTGGGTTTCCCTGCTTTCACAACTGTGTGAAATTAATTGCTATCATTTATAAATCACCTTATTTATGGTACTGTGTAATAGTAGCCTGCATGGGTGAAGACAATGGCTCAGAATTTCTTCATGTTTTCAATCAGACAGCATTGGGACATAGCCTTGCAGTACACATGGCATCATTATCACAATACTTTATTTGGACCCCATCATGAAAGCTGCCCCAGATTCTAGGGGGAAAGACCTAGATTCTACTTCTTTTTTTATTTTCATTGAGTTTATTTGTACTTTTTAAGTATACAGTACTGTTATATTTATCACTTGGATCTTGTACCTTTACATGACAGATCTTGGTTCTCATTTTTTCCCCATACTTTTGCCCTGTAATTCCTTCTGTTTAGTACCACATTTACTCTCTGGCCAGGATAGTAATGCATGTAGGACTTTGGTGTTTGTAGCTCCAGTTGTTGGGTTAAAAAAAAAGGTTACAAGTTTATCAGAAGAGTTACTTTTTCCCTGTTGACAATGAATTTCAGACTTTACTGAATGGCTCCTTTCATCAGGGACATTCAGAAGCATCTTAGTCAATGCCTGGCTTTGGTTGTTCAAAAGATAGAGAAATGTTCTTTATGTAGACACTTGCCACATCATTTCTCTGAGAAAATAGAGATATGAACAGCAATACTAGCTTTTAACTCCTTTCTAGGGGGAACTGAAATATGATGTGAGTATGTTGCCTTCTGTAGATCTAATCTTTAAGCTAATGTTGTCGGCTCAGGAAAACGACAGTAATGATTTTCAATCCTGTCTGCACATTAAAATCACAGAGATGGATGGATGTTTCCTACAAACCTCATGACCAGATTATTTCTCAGACCAACTAAATAAAATTCCTACATTAGTACTTTTTTAAAAAAAATTAAAGCTTCTCATGTGATTGCAATGTGTAGTTAGGGCTCAGAACCATTGATTTAGGGTAGGGTTTGTTAAACTTCTAAAAATGGTATGTAGTAGATATTTCAGCTTTGTGGCCATACTATTTCTGTTGAGAGTATTCAGTGCTTTTACTGTGGAACAACAGCCATAGTCAATATGTTGATGAGTGGGCGTGGCTATGTCCCAATAAAACTTTATTTACAAGATCAGGCAGCACTGAATTTGGCTTGTGCACACAGGCTCTAGTTTATTAACTGACCCTTGATTTAGGGTAACAGATTATAGTTCCTTTCAATAGCTTCATCTTCATATATAGAGCCTCAGATGTGCACATATGAAAGAAGGGAATACTTCCATGACTATCGTGGCTGACACAGGCATTTTAAGTCACCCTGTATTTCTTTATTTTATGTGTTTTTAGTGCTGGAGATGAACCCAGGGCCTTACACCAGCTAGGCAAGTACTCTACTATATAATTACATCTCTGCTCCTTGAATGGCAATTTAAATTGCTCCCTATCATCTCATTTTTTTTAAAAAGGGGGTTAATTTACCATCTTATGTGTTGGTTTGTACAGCCCCTCCCCATCTCTCCTCCTGTGCAAGTCTCCCTTAGCACATAAGTATTTGGAGATGGGAATGAACACAGAGATAGACATCTCCCCAATCCTCCCAGAAGTGCTGCACTTACCCAATATTTCTAGAGCAGAGATCAGGAAGGCAGGACTAGAACTCATGCCTGGATGTCCCTGTCTAGAGGTCCTCTCAGTGTTCTTCTTGGCTTCCCATTTTCCAACTTCCATGGACACAGACCTGCATCTCTGCTTCATTAGGACACTGGATTTGAACCTTGGGATGGCCTTGCTTTGTTTCTTAATCATTGAAAATGATCTGAGGATAGGATAATACATTGTCCTGCATCCTCCATGCCTGCCCTCCAATGACTAAGTCACCTCTCACTTCTCACCATCAGCAGTCTTCCTTCAGTCCCAAGAGCAAAAGCTTCCTCTGCCTTTTAAAGCTCCTTACGTCTCTGCTTGTCATGGCTAGACATACCCCACTCCTAATCTCTTCCTAAATCCCTTTCTCTTTGGCTCAGAAAGCTTGTCTTCTCCTGGTCCTGTTTGCAGGCCTATCTATGGCTTTTCAGCATCTGTTTAAAGCCAGTCCACATCTTGCTACTGTCACTGCTGGCTTACTCCTGGGCTGGTTTCCACCTGTACAATCTTAGGTGGTAATCTTATTTGTTTTCACAACTTTGAAATCCAGAAACACACAGCCTCTTTATCTCTGCTTGGTATTATTGCAGTTACCCACTAATAAAATAGTCTTTTAAAAATTCTTGTCATATGTCAAAGAATTTAGTTAAAAGTGACTTGTTCATATTCTGACTGCATTTGGGACTGAATTAATTCTTTGGCCTTTGATTTTTTCCTCTAAGTTATTTTACATGAATTCCAGTTGTACGAGGTATAAGAATTGTTAAATGCAAAGATATGGAAATTTTGGAGATCTTGAGAAATTATATTTGATTTTTGATTACCCTTTAAAAATTTAGGGAACTGTGCAGTGTTTGCCCCATAGGGGCCATTTCAGAATCAAACACATAGACATTGAATAATTTTGGTAATTAAATCTCCCAAATCAGGGCCTGAGTGTACCTGGAATCTTACTATGTACTTTTCCCACTTGTTCTTTCCCAACATTAGCCAAGCCAACACTATTCAGAAGAGGGGTATGTTCCAGCAGATGGGGATCTGTACTTTACCTGGAAACCAATGAGGAATTCCAGGCAGGGTACAGCCTTTTTGAGTTGCTTGTACTGAGTTCATTGAGTTTTGTGAGTTGGCTGAGTTTTGCACACATTAGAAGCAGGTAAAACTCTACACAATTTTTTCCATAGCTGGGAAAACAGGCCTATATGATTTCTTGATTTCTCTAATCACATCATACTAACTTCTTCAGTAATGCTAATTAGCTTAGTTGGAGTAAGTTGGTTGTAATTAAAATTTGTTCTGGTTAGAACAAGTGAAAAAGGTAGTGATGGAACACTGAACAGTCTGGGACAAATCATCCCTCTGTTTTTGTCTCTGACAGAGAAAATGGTCCCTAAAATATGAGGCTGAAGTGAGGATTTCTTTGAGTTGCCACCAGATCTCTGATAGAGCTAACCCTTGCAATTAGACACAAAATCCCCTAAAGGCTTCAAATAACCATGATGCATGACTCTGCTGTTCTGTGAGTCAGGGATCTGCAGGGGTTAGCTAGGGTTCTGCTACTCTGCCTGTTGTTGCCTGGGTCTCTCCTGTAGTTGCATTCACCTGGGTACTTAGCTAGTAATGAACACTGAAGTTGTCCTCTTATCCTCCACAACGCCTCCCATATGGCTCTATCTGGACTCCTCTGTGAACCACAGCTGGGTCAGAGAGATTAAAAGCAAAACTGTTGAACCTATACATTCAAATATGGCATGCTTTCTCTGGTGTGTAAAACTGAAAGAATAAATAAGGACCAAAATGTATAACAGATACTGTGAACTAAGAAGTAATTATTCATATGGGAAGTGGAACGAGTGAGGGGGGAGGGGGAAAGGAAGGAAGGGAAAAGGAAAACAAAAATAAAATAGAAGGAAAAGTGGAAACAAAGTTTTCGTAAATAGGAGGGGAAGAGGAGAAGGAAAGGGAAATGAAGAATCAAGGTATATCAGGTACAGGTACAAATTTCCCATGATGAATGTGATCATTATGTATATCTAAAATATACCAATAAAATCATTAATAATAAAAAATCCCAAAGCCATTGGACATGTTTAGGCCTGGATCTGGGACTGGCACAGCACTGGTACTGATTGCATTGGCCCGAACAAGCCATAAGCTCAACCCAAATTCAAGGGGAGAGGATGCAGCTTCTGAACCTTGGTGGAGGTGCAGAGGTAGAGAGGGGGGCAAAACTAGTCTCTTGGGGAGTTCTAGGCCTTGATAATATTGTGCTTGTCTTTTAAGACTACAAATAATGTCAATGCTATTAATTACTAAATAATGTGATATACGTAAATGCAATGATGATGTAGAAAAAAAATGGAGAACTATTACATGAAATTGAGTTCTGGCTTGATTGGAAAGCACAGTGCAAAGGTTTGTAGATGTAATACTTTGGAATCCTTATTTAACATATAAGGAAACTGAGGATCATATAAATAATTTGTCTAAGTAACTTGTTACTACTTCTAATCATTCAGTCCTTTTTTGTCACCCATGTTGACAGAGAAGTGAGTGGAAATAACTCATAACTTCCAGCTCAGTGCTTTTCTCTTCCCTCCACCTTGAAATCATATGGAGAAATGTTCTGAGACTAAGCAGTTATTCCTGAAAAAAGTCTAATTTCATTTTCTTTGTAATGAGCTAGAGTTTCTTGCTTTTGGCACTATTGACATTTGAAGCTAGGTAGTTCTTTGCATGAGAGGTTGTCCTGTGCACTGTAGGATTTTTAAAGCAGCATTCCTGGCCTCTACTCACTAGATGCCAATGCCTACACAACTGTGACATTCAGAAATGTCTCCAGACACTGCCAGATGTTCCCATTGAACACCACTGCTGTAACCTAAGATATTGATGCTGACTGATTGTAACTGCTGGGTTGTCCACATAATAATACCTAAGAATGAATTATTTTGCAAACCTGGGAATGGGTCTGGTAAAGGACTTTCTCCTCCTTGATTTGTATATTCACACACACTGCACACAAATACATACAGTGTTTTAGGTTGTAAGTTAAATGTGTAAAATCAAAATTCCATTTGGCTGCATACATTGTACAGATTACTTTTTTTTTTGTTTGTTTTTTTTTCCCTTTTTGTGGTAATGGGAACTGAAGCCATGGCCTATTCATGCTAAGCCAGGGCTCTACCACTAAGCCCAGCCATTTTTATGAATTAGACATCATCTTGCTAAGTTGCCCAGGTTGACCTTGAACTTGCAATCCTCCTGCTTCAGTCTCCTGAGTACCACGCTCAGTTTAGATCACTTTTAATGGAAACAATTACTTAAAATCCAGTTGCTTTGGACTATTAAGGGTGTACAGTTCATAGATCTTTTCCTGCAAACCTAAACTCCTATCAATTGACAAATGTCAATTATCGTCTCACCACTTGTCCTGAATGGACCCCACGAAAAGGTGATGCAAATAATTGCATGTTCATAAAACAGAAAATGCATCAGAGACTTGGCAAAATGTTGAGTGAATTTGATACAAGTAGACCTGAACATATTCAGTTTAAAAACACTTCCTGATTCAAGCATTATTCAAACTGGCTCTTTACACTAATGAAATTGTGTCAAGTATTCATTTCACGTGGTATTATGTCAAGTCAGCTGAAGTATTTGAAAAATTATTCTTTTCTAGTTGTTTGTGACTCCCAGTGTATGCATTACAAAACCAAATTTGATCTGACAGTTTCTTGCTCTCTCTTTCCCACGCGCATGATCACGTTGATGGAACTATAGAAGCAACACCAACAAAGAAATTAAGTAACTTCAAGATTTTTTGCCTGAGGAATCTTGGCAGTATCAGAAAGGACCAGGGTGGCAAATTGGAGTGTACCCACATGCTTCATGTAAGTCTCAGTAGTCCAATACTTGTTAAAAGCCAGAAACTCATACTTATTTCTCTGTCAATTTCATAAATTAACTGCAACAACTCGGCAAATAAATCTCCCCAGCTTTTCCATATATAAACAAATGCTTAAATTTGTTCCCTCACTTGCATTTTTTGGCCTACTATGCTTGTTCTGCTCATTTGGAAAAGCTGTCTGATGGTTTTCCCTCTGGAATTTTGAATAACTACTAGCCGAAGATGCAAAATAGCTCTCATGTCTGCGAGATTAATATTTCTGCTCAGTTCCTAATAAAATGCAGCTGAAATTTCAACTAGAAGATATTCTCTATCATCTGTTATGCACTTGACTGTGATAATGAAATGTTGCCTGCCTCATCCTTAAATTTTGGAGATTCATGTTGAATAATTTTGGCAGTCTGGTTTCACTTAACTTTCTGAACTTATATATGAATTTGAAAATTGTTTTGTCCAATGATGTGAAATAAGGACAATATGGCCAAGGTACAGTTAGTGACATAATTACACTTAAGTATTTATCTTCTTGATAAGTTGCCTTCCCTACAACTACCTCCTCTCCCCTTCCTTCCCACCCTTCCTATGACATTTAATATTGATTATCTGACCTCATCTTCCTAACCCTGCCCCACATCTGGATTTGAATTGCCTTTAATTACACCCTCAAGCAGTCCAATTTTCTCTGCAGTAGAGTTGTCGAGAGTTGCATAGTTCTAAAGGATCTGACCCATTAATTTTTCTGTTGACTTTAATTTCTTCTCAGTATCAGACTTTTGGCAAAAGTATGAAATTCCAGTGAGAGGCTAAGAAGGATGAAGAAACAGCACTCCAAATCAGAAGTCACTTATATAAAGAGACAAATCATTGTAAGCAGTGAGGATATTTGGTCCTCTAAGCCAAAGCGTGATTAACTCAGTTACATTCATTGATTCATTCCCTGTTAGAGTTTTCTGGGAGAAAGATGAGCTATAGGAATCTTTGTTTTGTGTCTTTGTACCTTTGTACAAAGTACTTAATATAGTAGTACCTTTGTTTCCCCGAGGACTACTTTTTTAAATTTAAATTTTAATTTTTGGTACCAGGGAACAAATTCGGGTCCTTGCACTTGCAAAACAGGTGGCAGAACCTGAGGACTATTTTTATTTCAGGATTATAGAGTAAGATTTTTAGGAGAGTGAATTCTGCATGTGAAGATGGAAAGTAGCCCTTCCTGTCTGAAGACTACCTCCACCTCCATGCTTGTAGGACTCCCTAATGCTTTCGCTGCAGATGCAGCGAAACACCCTACATTGTTTAAGATCCTCAAATCCCACTGAATATCTTATCCCAGTATGTCGCACAGAGTAGGTGTTGAATAAATATCAAACAGTCAATCTGGCATTCGATTTGAATTGCTTGGTGACAATTCTTTGGGTTGCTAACTTCACTGCTACTTTATTCTTTCTGTATTAAGATTGAGGGTGTTGCAGGTGGAGTCCCACAAGACACTCGCATTGTAGTGGTCCCTTGGCACCCAGAGGGCCTTCTCTTCAGCTTCATATATTCAGGTGCATATTAAGACACTCAGTACACTAGGTTGCCTGAGACTTGGGAAAGTGAGTGGAAGGGCCCCAATAGGATAATTCCTCACTCTCTTAAAGAATTCTCCATGCTCCTAACAGAGAGAGCATTTTTGACAAGGGTAATACTGTCCTTAAGGAGCCAAAAATTGGTTTCTAAGGGATTAAAATTTTTATATATTACGATGGTTTGTGTCCCCCACACCAAAACTCAATGCTGCTGAAACATCATGCTGTTAGTACTTAATTTCTCTCTTTAGGAGACAACTATCAATTCAAGTTAAAGCTGATTAATTAATTTAAATTAAATTTAAATTAAATCTGTATTTTCTCCTTTGGGTGATAGTGAAAAGAAAAAACCATCCGAGAAACACTGTCCTTGTGTACACATTTCTTTTGTGGATTTGGAAATTGCCCACGATGAACAGATGTGTATTCTTTTGCTGTCTTCCCTCAGACAAAACAGCATTTGAAAAAGTATTTCCCATGGTGGCTTTCTTAAAATGAATACCTAGGCAAATAATTGGGAAAGAACCTTCCCTAGGTGCTGAGGATAGACAACTGAATGCAGCATCAGCCTGCAATCTCCTCCCATGACCCTGACCTAATTCCCATTATGGATCTTGGAATCTCTCATTTCTTCCAAATAGCAGCTTTCTCCACATAGTCAAAATAGACAGTCTTTGGAAAAATTGAGTCCTGTAAGTATTTAAAAATTATGTATACAGTGAATACATATGCAATATATTTTTTCTTTTTCTTCCTTTACGTGATTCCTTCCAGGCAGTCAGAGTTTTCTGAGGCAGCTGTCTCTCTTCCCTGGTATGCCCAAAAGGGAGTTACCTGCCCTCAACAGTGGAGAAAATGTGCAAGAGCTATGGTAGTCCACGGGGCCCATCATGGTCTCCATCTAATTATTCATTCCCTTCCTGATGGCTAAGCCTACGCTCATCTGAGTTGTTCAGCAAGAAGATGAAGGCTCTGAGTATTATCAAATCTTTATAAAATGCACACACATGCACGCACACACATGTTGGTCACAATATACAATACACCTAGTGACTTACCCAAGATCATGTAGCTAGTAAGGAATTGAGGTAAGATATTTCCCTCCTTAGTGATGCACACACAAGAAGGTTAGTTTTCCATAGCAGGAGCTATGATTGTTGCATAACTTCAAATTCTTGGGGCCTAGCACACACTCTGGCACATAATAGGAATTCAATCAATATTTGCTAAATGCATACATTTCTCTGAACCTGAGACTGTTAGATCATCAGTACAATGCAGGACTATCTCCAAGAAGTGTAGGTCTATTTGTGTATTTCACAATAGGGTTTTTGCATTCGTATCTACTCCGCCATTTACAAAGGTGGAACACAATAGTGGTGACAACTTCAAGTATAGAATTTACCCGGACTTGTCAGAACTTTGCCATGGAGTTCCAAAAGAGATTATTATGTTCTAGATTATCTTTTTTGCTATTTATTTCTTTTCTTTTCTTTTTTTTTTTTTTGAGACAAGGTCCCATTATATAGTCCATGCTGACCTTGAACTCATAGTGATCCTCCTGCTTCAGCTTCACAAGTTCTGGGATTACAGGCATGTGCCACCATACCCAGCTAATTATTTATTTTTGAGATGGGTTCTCACTATGTTTCTCAAGCTAGACTTGAACTCTTGGGCACAAATGGTTCTCCTACCTCAGCTTTTTGAGTAGCTGGAACTAGAGGTACATGCTACTGTGACACCTCTATAAGTTATTTTAATATAACTCATCATGCTTTCATAGTACTTCAAACAGTAAGATTCAGCACTTAACAGTAGTTAATTGAGGCTTGGTTCTGAAAGGCTGACTTTTGATCCTGTCACCATGCATGAATAACCAGCTTTGCTCGATACTCCACACAGTAGAAACTAGCAGTCGCCCTCCTAGAGCCAGAAAAGTGGAGGGGATTCTCATTTATATGAGCCATAGAGAAAATTAACCTAAAAGACATTTAGAAACAGTTTTGTTTATTTATCTGAAAAACCATTTTATACCCTACATTTTGGGAACAAAATAAATTATTACATATTGGTTCTGTAAGGTTTGTTATGAAAACCAGTATCTCTGCTGCTCTACCCTGCTCTTCTTTATTTTTTCCTGCTTCAAGGCAGCCTTAACATTTGAGCTGATTTGTCTCAGTGTAACATGTTGTATGGCCACTCTCTGCTGTTTCAGTGTTAGGCATTATCTCTTCCTTCTGCTCACCATTGACTATCTCACTAATTATAGTTCTGATTTGATCATGGTCAGTGTTAAATTACAACCAACTAATTTATCACTGCTGAACCATGCAGTAGACTAGACTCATCTAGGTCATCTTGCATTTCAAATTTGTTAAGTGCTCTTGAAGTTATAAGATAAAGTTTTGTTGTTGTTTAAACCTTTTGTATTAGGCCCCCCACACTGCACACAGAGGGGAGGACACTGCCATCCGTCTTGAAGAAAGTTTACACTCAAATGTGCTTGCTACCGGTTTGACTATATCCTTCCCAGATTCGTACCTGGAAGCCTAACCCCCAAGTATGAAGAGGTTTTAAGAGGTGAGGCCTTTGGGGGTTGACAAGGACATGAAGGCAGAGACCTGAGGAAACTCGCTTGCTCTTTATACCATCTATGAAGCAGGGAATGAACCTTTACCAGGTACTGAATCTGCAGGTGCCTTGACCTTGAATTTATAGACTTCAGAACTATGAGAAATAAATATTTGTTGTTTGAAATCCACCCAGTTTAGGATACTTTTGTTACAAGAACCTGCATGAGCTAAGATAATACTAAAAAAACCCAAAACAAACAACAAACAAACAAACATGTATTCTGGAAGATAGAAAATACCCAATCATGTTAAATTCACTTCTCATGAGAGCAATCATTTCCCACAAGGAAGAAGGAATAATCAGAGTTACAAATGTTAAAACAGGAAGGACTGAGTAAGACAGGAAAATGACTAATGCAGTAAATGCAGAAAATGAAGGTTTGTGCAAGAAAACAAAGCATGGTTCAGTGTGACTGGAGGATGCTGTCCATGCTTCTCAGGAACCAACCATAGGAAAACATGGGAAAAAGCCAGCCTGGAAACAGAGGCTTGAATGCATTGTAGCAGATCGGGGTGACCTCAGAAAACAAAAGTAAGTAAATGAGGATTGACCTAGGAATGGGGACAAGCTATGGACAACTGATGCTCACTTCTGCTGCGGCCACTCTGAGGGATCAAAAGATTTATGTTATCAAAGGAAGGAGATGCTGGGGTTTGTATGACTCACGCCCATCCTCCAGTTGCTGAAGGTTGCTCCAGTGGTGTTAGCATCCTTGTGTCTCTGTGCTGTATCTATAGGTGGGGACCAAGCTCCGGTGTTGGGGAAGGACCTGGAAATAGCAGAATAACAGTCATTTGTGGTGGAGAGCTGCCAGTTGGCTGGGAACCGCACTGCGTGTAAGGCCAGGCCTGGTGTCTGAGGAGAATGGGCAGAGCCTCACTCATATCTGTGATGTAACAGACCTTGTGTTGACCAACTGAATATGATCAAAAGTGACGAATATCGCGTCAAGGTGAACCTTAAAGAAATGGTTCGTGATTTTCCTATCTTTCCCCCTTCACAGCAACAATAATGATTCAAACAGTGGGGGCTCCCTCTGCTTGTCCTAGAGTGAGACGATGAAGGGAAGAACTGGCAGCTGACTTGCATAGGACAGACGTAGAGCGTGAGTGAGAAATAAATGTATGTCTTACACGCACTTAAAATTTTAAGGGTTACGAGTAGTGCAGCAAAACATAGCTTAACCTGATAAGGATAAGATGTGATAAAAATATGTGAATATGTGTTAAAATTTTAATTATTGTAAAGGACGCCTAGCCATCAATCCCTCTCAGAGTGCTTCCCCTTCCTTCAGACACTCAGCCTGTCATTCTTGCCACATTCTGAAGCAGTCCTGGAAGTCCTCTTTCATGAGTGTCATTAGTTGTGCAGCTGTGGCTGCCTCAGTGTCCTGAATTGACTCAAAATATTTCTTTTCATAGTTATTTTGACTTTGGGGAAGAGCCAGAAATTCCATGGTGCCAGATCTGGTGGATAACGCGGAAGAGGACACTCTGTAGTGTTTTTATTTGATAGAAATTGCTGTGACCATAAACTGTAAATTTCTCTGGAAAGTAGCAAGAATAATGGGATAAGGATGTTCAAAGCAAGGGAAGTATTTGGAGCGGGATTAACAACAGTGTGCCTTTTACTTAGCGTTTAGGGGTTTTTTCCTTTTTTTTTTTTCTTGAGACAGTTTCACACAATGTGATTCAGGCTGGCTTTGAGCTAACTGTAGCCCAGGTTGAGCTTGAACTCTAGGCAATCTGCCTGCCTCAGACTATTGAATGCTGGGACTACAGGCATGCATCACCAAGCCTGGCTTTTACCTAATTTTAAAATTTAAACATTTACTGAATTAAAAAAAATTGAGCATTCGGTCTATTTTTTTTTTTTTATCATACCAGGTGTAATCACTCAGCAAGATGAATTGTTACGTGATAGTCAAATATGGCCAGGCACCAAAAAAACAAGATTCATTTCTAATGTCGAGTTAAAGATGGGCATGCAAGATATCTGTACTCTACTCCATGAGCTCGTCCAAGGATCCAGGTTCTTTTTATCTTTTTGCTGCACCACCCACTAGGGCAGGGATCTTTGTTCTGTAAAGGGCAAGATAGTATGCATTTTAGGTTGGTGGGCCATAAATCTTTTTGTTAAAACTATTTCAGCTCTACTGTTTGAGAGTGAAAGCAGCCATACATAATATGGAAACGAATGGGTGTGGCTGTGTTTCTAGAAAACCTTATTTGAAAACACAGAGAGCAGATCTCAGTTGGCCCATTTACTGATGCTGATTTAGTGTAATCACAGCAAGATGAATTGTTACGTGATAGTCAAATATGGCCAGGCACCAAAAAAACAAGATTCATTTCTAATGTCGAGTTAAAGATGGGCATGCAAGATATCTGTACTCTACTCCATGAGCTCGTCCAAGGATCCAGGTTCTTTTTATCTTTTTGCTGCACCACCCACTAGGGCAGGGATCTTTGTTCTGTAAAGGGCAAGATAGTATGCATTTTAGGTTGGTGGGCCATAAATCTTTTTGTTAAAACTATTTCAGCTCTACTGTTTGAGAGTGAAAGCAGCCATACATAATATGGAAACGAATGGGTGTGGCTGTGTTTCTAGAAAACCTTATTTGAAAACACAGAGAGCAGATCTCAGTTGGCCCATTTACTGATGCTGATTTAGACTTCCGATATAACCCATGAGCTTGCTTCAGTAACACAAATACTGAAGCCACAATAATTTAGACAACTTTAGTGTGGTTCTTATAGTAGGACAGTACAAATGACTCAGGAAGTACATTGGTCTTTGGAGCAATCGTGCACTGAGCTATACACAGGTGCCACTGGGGGAAGATGATAGCTTTCCAGTCCAACTAGGAAATAGCACCTGAGTGTTCCCTCTATGTTCAAGGCTCTGCAATTTGATTCTGAGCATAAGCCAAAAAGTTAACTTCTGAGAACTGACTTTTTCTAAACAGACACATAAAGTACTGTGTAAATTAGAATCCCAGTCCCATCATTTGCAACAGAAATGTAGCTGTCAGGTAGACTGGATATTTGTATTTCTTAAACAGTGTGTTCTCTCACTGGTGGCAAGCAATATGGAAAGATGGTTCATAATTAGAAGTGAGCATTAAGACCTTGAAATCATAACAGGAAAGAGAGTTGGATGTTCTAGTGGCTGGTAATAGCCAGATGTGTCTATTTCCACCAAAGGGAAGCAGCTGTCACATAGATCAGATTGTGTCACTCCTTCCTTGGACTGTGTCTTTTTGGCTCCTATCATATCCTTATGTGATAAAACTTTGGCTTGGTAGCCAATTTATCTAGAGGAATGATGCACGTCTGTGTCTTGGCCTATTATGTGATTTCATTTTTTAGGTTTTTGGGGAGTTTTTCATTTCCCCCATGTGTTAACAACAAATTATTTCTAAGCATAAAGATAAGAAATGAGTGAATTTGTTATTTAGAGAGCAAAGGGATTTTCATCTTTAAAAGCAATGGAAAAAATTAAAAAGGAAAACCACAGAATGGGTTATTAGTCAAAGTAAACAAATAGAAAATAGATTATTATTTTAGCATAAAACGTATCTTTATCAGTAAAATATGTAACATTAAAATGCAAATTAAATGCAGGAAAAATATTTGGAATAGGTGGCAATGGGATCTTTAAGCAATTCTAAAAGCCTTCGTATGTAAATAGGTCTAGTGGTCAAATAAGAACTTAGAATTTTTATGGATAATTGTGGAAAAGACATGTACAAAAGCAAGATGCTGACAGCTAATAAACATATAAGAGAGTGTATTTAATTTCCAGAAAAGTGACAGAGAGGTAAAAGCATCTACTTGGTCATTATACCAGAGACAAGAGTGCTCAGCAAAGGTGGTGTTGGTACTTTCAAGCCTTTTTAGCACTCAGGCTGGATCACGTGACCAGTTCTGGTTAATGGGCTATGACATATGTGACATGTGGGTCAAGGCAGTTAAGAACTCTTTTGCCCACCTGCAAGGGTTTTGGAGACCACATGTTCTAGATGCTGTAGCTACAATATAGTGGATTTATGTGAGGGTGAGATAAGCGTTTATTGTGTTTATCCCATGCAGCTTGGGAAATAGGCTTGGCTTATTCTAGAAAGAGAGAAGGGCAATCATTTGGGTCATGGTGGACTAGAGAAAAAGTGGCAAGAGATTATGTTAGAGAGGGAGGTAGAATCTGTGTAAGGTAGGATATATGGACAATAGTGATGAATCTGAACTTTATTTTTAGTGCAGTGGAAATCAGTAGATCAAGAATATGCCTCAAGAACCTTAAGATTGTCCAAAAATTTGAAGTCTGTTCTAAATATTCTAAGGAAAAATCAGAAGTGTCGTTAAAGATTCATATATAACAGTACTTATTCCTAAACTATAATAGCACACAGTTGAAAAAGTCTAAATGTCTAAAAATATAAGAACTATTAAAGGAGCAATATTCTTATTACTAAACAGATATTTCCCTAAAGCATTTAAAGATGTACTTTTTTTTGCATTTCAATAATTTTATTGAAAGGTATATCTCTTAGTACCAAACATAATGGTAGTTGGTTAGGTTACCTCTGCCAAGTGATATTTTCAAAATATTGAAATATATCAGCTTTATGATATAGCTGAAGTTATCCACAGAACATGGTTTACAAAAAGTTAAAGGTAGAATATACCACGGGTCTTTGGTTTATTTTCAGTGCTTATTTATCAGTAACATGATGTCAAAATTTGCTATATACATTCTGGATAGACTCAGGCTTCAGGCTTCCCTGTTTACAATACTAACAATACAAGTACATCTCCTTACATTGATTGACTCACATGGAGAATTCCAAAAACTACCTCAGCAATCCCATAGTTATGGCAGTACCTCCTTACTTTTCTTAAGACTTATTATGGAAATTTGTGAAAGTATATTCTACTCCTTAAAAATAAAAAAAAGCTGGAAGCAATGGCAGTTTTATAGAAACAGTCCACAATAAAATCTGGAGTGCTTTATCTAGCCAGAACTTAGGGTAAGGCAAGTGTTTAGAGGGATAATTGATTTGACTTACTATGTAATATAATAGAACATTTTTTAATGGAACTAGATAGACCAAGGAAGTTGATTCTGTATAGAAATTTTTATCAATACAAATGTCGCCTGTTGTTTAGAAGAAACATGAGATAGCTCAGTGAATATGCCAGACTTAGTAGGTCTGAATTTTGGCTTAGCAAACAGTTTTAAAATTTAAATGTAATTGCCATGTAGCCATCACATTCTCATCTCTGAAGCATTACTTGAATTATGGAGCCAAGAAACCACTACATTACCTAGAAAATAACCTTGATTGTGCCTTACAAAAGGGCATGTGTGAAATGTTGGTTTTGATGTAAACCTCATAATTTAAAATTTAACATTTAAATTAAGTAGGTTACCATTTTCAATATCACATAAGTATAATATATTAATCCAACATAGAAAGTAAATTAATGTTAGAAATGAAGATTCACAGTTCACCTTTTCAGGCTTGTATTAAGTGTTTCACATTTATGCCTTTAGCTTTACAGTGAATTCAAATCTAAACAACCCTACCGCATTATATTAGTTAGGCAGTCTCCAAAGATGTAGAACATCATACTAATGTAGTTGTGACGTTTTGAGGCTCCAAAATTTAAGCCCATTATCACATTATGGAATCCATAGTTCAGGGTTATGGAGAAAGGTTTCAAAGATTTTTTTTTGTTGCTTCAATAATGCTATTTATGTATGCAACAACCCCCCAACTTATCAGAAGTTTATCTAAATACTACTAACTATTAAAAGTAAAATTTTCATGCCTAAGGTTCACAAT